TCTCTCTCTCTCTCTCTCTCTCTCTCTCTCTCTCTCTCTCTCCTCTCTCACTCTCTCTTTAAAAAAAATAGTGTTTTATCCAATGCTGCTAATATCAATTTATGTATTTGATTAATGATATATTTATCAGATTATGGAAATTTATATTTCATGTGAATTTTTAGAGGCACTCTCTGAGCCCCTGGTCCTTAAGGGTTTAGTTTCACTGGTGCCTTGTTGAGGGCCCACACCTAGGAGACTTTTGATAAATGTTTGCAAAGACATAAAGATGAATCATGAGATGCTGGGTTCTTGGGGAAGCAGAAAGCAATTGTGAAATGCAATCTCCTGCAGTGGCTCTAGGTGGACAAAAACATGCTTATTGTGAGCAACATGATTAATTGATTTTACATCCTTTTGTTTTTGAGCAGACCTTGGAATGAGCGAAATGATTTTTCTTGAGAGAGTAAGGATGAAACCGTAACTCATTCTGTGAAGACTGACTCCACTTTCTGTTCTTCAGAATGTGCTGTGAATTTTTTGAAAAAAAAAATTCTTAATACATTTAAAATTTCTTAATATGTTCAAAAGCAATCAGGTCTGATAACACTGGATTTTTTTGGTTTTGTATCTGTGGAAGTAGCTTTGAACTAATTTTGCTTTGAACTTTTCTACTGAAACATGCTACTGATTCCTGGAGAAAGGACTAATTAGGTCTTCTTCTTTAACACCCTTTAAATAAGTCTTGCTGATTTTTAGACGGGCATGTCTCTTTCTTACACTGGAGTTGTTTTATAGATAGTCAATATTGTATCAGGTGACATAAAGCAGTCATAACAGGCATAACTAACCTTGCTGACACAGGGTCATAGTGTATAATAAAATACTGTACTGTATTATATATCATCTTGAGAGGTGGTATAATTTTTCCATGAAAGATAAGCTTTTGGTGGGATTCTTTATAAAATCGGACACTTTATTAAAATCGGACACTAGAGAATCAATAGTTTATTTTATGTATATATTTTTCAGATTGTAAGAGTAATATATGTTAGTTGTAAAAAAAATTAAATACAGAGACTATATGTAAAGAAAAATAAAAATTACCTATAATGTCACAACCCAGAGCTAGCCACTATTAACCTTTCCTATGTATTTTATGTTATATAGTCAGATCATATCACATATAGTTATGTACCTTTATTAATTTTTATTGTATAACTTTTATCATTGGTCTTCAAATGTATGATTTTAATAGTTGTAGAGATTTCTACTATATGACTATATCACAAGTTATTTGACCATTCTATTTGTTAGACTAGTTTCTTTCTCATGTTAAATAATGAATGTTGTTTAAAACAATTTCCTTGCTACAACATTTACATTCATTTTCTTGAGTGTACAGAGAAGTAGCTCTGCCCTTTGATGAAGTATTGTAATAAATCTGCCTGCAACTTTATCTTTTTTTTGTAATCATGTGTCTGATTACTAGCTATTTATTTTTTAATTAAATTTTTTTTGAGTTGAACCCAGCTTCTTAAGATGTGACTGGAACAATGAAGACATGTTGTGACTGCAGGAGAATGTGACCTACCAATGATGAACAATGGCGGAGGCAGGGAAGGTGTCCCAGGGAGTCCATGTGGTTGAGCTGAAAGAGAATTTCAGACACAGAGAGAGTGAAATAAAGGAAAAGCTGAAAGGGGTAAAATAGAGAAGCCAAAGTACCCAAGAGGAATGACATCTCAAAGCCATTCAACTCAACCGTAACACGAGCATCATGTTAGAATCCTGGCTGACCTTCAGAACTGGTGCTCTGGCTAGGTCAAAGGAGCCAGGGCCCCTCTCAGATTAGGCTTGGTACTTCCAGGAGGGCCTGGGAAGAGAGTCTTTCTGGTCCCATGGGATTGTCTTAATTGTCTTCTGTTGCTATAACTGAATCCCATAGTCCGGGTAATTGATAAAGCATGGAAGTTTCTTTGGCTAATGGCACTGGAAGCTGGGAAGTCCAGTCTCTAGGTGCCAGGTGGTGCCGAGGGCCCTTTCTTGCATCTCAACATGACAGAGGGCATCACATGGTGAGTCAGAGCGAGCATGCTAGCTAGCATAGGTCTCTCTTCTTATAAAGCTGCTCCCCCATCATGGGAGCCCTACCCTCCTGACCTCATCTAACTCTGATTACCTCCCGGTAGGATTAACATATGACACTGGGGATTAAGTCTTCCACACAGGAATTCCTGGGGACATGTCTAAATCATGGTGAGGTGATGCATGTTCATTTCTTTTCTTTTCTTTGAATACAGTGCTGAGGATGGAATCCAGGGCCTCTTGCATACCAGGCAGGTACTCTATCACAGAGCTGTACCCTGAGTCCCATGCTCACATTTTCACTGGATTCTCAGAGCCCTGCATTCTTTGCACTCCTGACCTTTTCTTTGATTCCCTATTCTTATAGGTTCTAGGTTTTCCATACATGTGCCATATATATTCTCTTGGAGTCCCTACCACTCTCCTGTGTTGTGGGGCCAACTCTACAGTCAACAATGAGTGGAAAACTCATGGATCCCTGAGGGCTTGCAGCTATTTGCAACTACTCTGTATTTACTGCATATTCCCTTGATCCCACATGAGCCCTTTGCACGTACCCGCACTTCATTTTGCTCTGATTTGGAGAACAGGGTTTTCAGATCATTTTATTTTTGTCTTCCATGGATAATTATTAGAATGCCTAAAACCTTGGAGGCTTTTCTTTATATTATGTAGAGCAGTGCTGTCCAGCAGAGAKATAATAAACCACATATTTATCAAATTAAAAATTAATCTTATGTATTTTACTGATTCAATTTTCACCAATATATCCAAAATATTAGAATCTCAATATATAGTTAGTTTAAATTTATTGAGATATTTTACATACTGTTTTTGTACTGAATCTTAGAAATCTGTGTGTTTAACACACGGCATAGTTGTGTGCTCAATTTGGACCAGATACATAGTAAACTCAATGGCCATATGAGGCTAATGGCTATGGTATTAAATAGCACGAGCCTTTAAAATAGAATTAATATTTCCAAAATATTTAACAAATTAGAAGAATTCTTAGGGAGAGTTAAACTGCTTTGTAATTTACATATACAAAAAATTCAGTCTTTTCTTCAAATTGTCCTTTTCTGAATTAATAGAGTAAGTTCATTGTTCTATAGCATCCCCATTTATTATTTCATATTATGCAATGCTGCTGGCAATTCTACCTGGGAAAGAAAATGTTCATTTGGATGATATTGATCATCCTCGACATGAGGGTCTCAGAGGTCAAGTCATCTTTGTTTTATTTTTTTCCATGTTCATTGCAGTGTCCTATACATAATATTGTTCAAAAATTTTGATTGGCTGGGTATGGTGATGCATACCTGTAATCTCAGTGACTGGGGAGGCTGAGGCAGGAGGACTGAAAGTTGGCAGCCAGCCTCAGCAACTTAGCAAGACCCTGTCTCAAAATAAAAAATAAAAAGGGCTGGGGATGTGGCTCACTGGTAAAGTACCTCTAGGGTCATTCCCTACTACCAAACAAAAACAAAAACAAAAAAACAAAAAAATGATTAACTGGAAATGTAGAAATCAATGATAGAATAAATGAATACAAAAATTAGCTTACTGCCATTATCTTTATTCAAAGACTGAATTAATAAGGACCAGCAGTCAACAGGAAATTGACATGTGTTAGATGCCATACATTTCAATCCTGTGTATTGGGAAGAACCAATAATCTTTCACACAATGACCTTTGATAGCTTGCTTTTCTAGGTAGTAACTCAGCTATCCTAAGTTATCTCCTCTTATCACTGAGAGGATTGTAACTTTCTGTCTTCGTTATTCACAYTGTCTCTTAACTAGGTAGCTAAGTTCTCTGTTCATAAATACAGATAGGGAGGTCATCTTACTGAGAACATTTCACGTCATATCCAAATACTTATAATGTCCTAGAACCAGCAGCTTTTTTTCCTTACACCCATTGCATTTCCCCATTTTTATAAACACTAAGTATTGCTGGAGTCTTTTGTTGTTTTCAAGATATTTCCTGGAATGTTATTTTCATGAGTTTGTGGCAAATGCAATTGTTTGAAATCATAAGGAGAAAGAGGTCCAGAAAAACCACAAGAAAGCCGGGAGTGAAGGGTGGAAATGCCCCTGAGGACTATGGTAAGGCACCTAAAATGTGGCAAAATTCCATTTCAGGACATGATTTCTGTCTACCAAAAA